TTACTTTTTCCCGTTTTGGTAAAAAGTATTATTCTTCCATTCAGTTGAATCAGTTTCCAAAAATGCTGTATTTATCCCAAGTCTTTTAAATAATTTTGGAGTTTGTTGATTTAATAAATAATCTGGAAACTCCTTTGTTAAAAAGTCTCTAACGTTTTCTATTTTTAAAATTAGTTTATTTTGAATATTTTCTTCTTCTGCTCCTTCTACATACTTTTGTTTCATATTTTCATACCCAATTATTTTTATTGCAATTTTTCTTCTTCTTTCAGATGAAATTCGTTCATCAAAAATAGAAAATGCTATAAACTCGCTACTGAGGTACCATAAATGCTTTAAAAACTTTGTTAAGCATGATGTAGCTATCTGTTCATCATCAATCGAATATGTATATAATCTACGTATTAAATCAATATCGTTTAAAGGGGCCTCACTAACATTCATTGCCGTAAACCATGATTTGATATATATTTTTATAATGAACGCACAGATTCTATAGATAGCATTTTCTTCTGTTTTTGTTAATTTAAATTCTGATCTGAATAAAAACATCTTTAAACAATAAATAGCTTTAGCCATCCACCTTGCTTGATGATACGCACCAGGTTTGCGAATAATTACTCCACCTGGTGGTGTTTCACCGAAAATAATAATAACAAGTTTCAAAAATTCTTCATAGTCATCTCTTGGTTGTTTTTCTGTTAGCATTTTGAAACAAAAAAACAAGATTTCTTGACGCACTGGTAACAGAATATTTTTTAGTTTTTCATTTGAACTCCATACAAAAATATTTTTGGTGTTTATTTTATTCCATGAATTTTTAAAACGCTTAAAAAGTGCAATATCTGGTCCGGATGATACGTGTAATCTTGTTTCAACTATCGCCGCTTGAAGAATCAACTCAAAAATATGATGACGGCATGCTAATTGAAGAACATCTCTTTCCAGTCGTTGTTCTAGTAGAGCACAAGCTCCATTTAATCGGCCTGTATTTGAAGACGTTGTGTCGAATACAAATCCTTGAACTTTATCAAGTAATGACCATATTTCAAGAGTATCGAATATAGCAGATTACATTTCTAATCCCGTACTGGATGGAATTTGGGGAACACCAAGAAGTTGCTCAAAATTAAGTCCTGTTACAATAATGGGCAGACGATCAACTTTTTTGTGTCCTCCGAAGTCAGAAAGTAATTTTTCATCCCAGTGAACAATAACAAAATCTACGTTTAAACTTAAAAATCAGACCGCACTTTTTCAGCATTTATTTCTCTTATACGTTGTCGTGCATTTTTTATAGACGTTCGGTTAATTATATAATGGGATGGGTCCAAAGAAACACTTTCAATGAACGCCGAAATAAATGTACAGCATCCCGATCACTAACCTTGAAAATATAAATTAAAACATACCTACCTATTTCAGTATACTATAATAATTGTTTTAAAATAATATTGAATTTATATTTTTAACACATACAAAATACGTTTTGTAACCTACACTAACCTGATCTTAATAATATTGAGTTAAAATGATCAATTTCTTTAAATATTTAAAAAAATAGTTAAATATATATTATATACTGTTAGATGTTAATTTTTAGCATAATACTTAACGTCTTTTTAACGTCATATAATATAAATTTTAAATACCTATAAAAGATAAATTTATATTAATAATTACTAACCTTGCACTTATCTAATGCTGCACAAAGCTGTGTTGTCAGGGTACAACACGATTGCGAACGTTTTACCTTTTTTATAACACGATTGCGAACGAATAACTCTTATCAGAGAATTTTTTTTTTAGCCGAAAATCGAACGATTGCGAATGTTTTTTTAGACAACGTTGCCAAGTTTATAATTTCTGAATATTTTAAACATTTATTTATTTTTAACATTTATTAATTTATTATAAACATTTTTTTTTTTTTTTTTTTAATATGAACTATTGGTATTAATAATACAATTAAAACAATAACTCTTCGTTACAAACTAAAATAAAATTATACAATTGGTATGTAGCGTTTAAAATGTTGATTAATTAAAACAATTTTCGTTGTATAATTATTAATAATACTGTTACAAAATGTACTTGTTAATTTTACGTTATAGAAACTGAATAAAAAAATAATATAATATATTCAAAATACTAGTTTTAAAAATACACATGTTAGTGTTACGTTAGAAACTGAAAAATAAATAAAATAATACATACATACATAGATCTGAGTTCTGAATAAAAAATAAAATAATACATAGACATTAGGGTGGTCCTTATTTTTAAACTTTCAAAATTTCAAGCCAGGTACCCGCAATTTTGTTCATTATAATGAGTGATTGATTAGGACTAAATTTGGTCATGATGACTTACCCCCTTCACGTGCCTCAAAAGGGTTGAAAATTTTCCATAGAGGGTAGTATTGTAGTTATGTGAATTTAACTCAATAACTATAGTACTTAGCGCAAAAATGTATAGAAGATTAATTATGTATTTTAATATTGCGCATAAAATATATATTTACAAAATTTTTTTAAGTCTGTAATTTTCCAAGAAAAATAGTGAAACACGAAATATTTTATTTATTTTGCAAAATAGATTTTTTACATTTATTCAGGTGTATTTGATAAAATATTAAACATAGAAAAATATATTTTATAAAAATCGAATACAATTTAATTTCCTAAAAACAAAATAAAAGGTGATTGTTAAATTTTGCAGTGGAGTGACCATTGTATTGTAATAATATTTGGATTATATGATATAATAATAATAATTTTTGAAATTATTATCTTTAGCAAAAACATAAAAGGTATAGTGGATTTATCATCATTTTTCAGTAATATCAATATTTGTTTGGCGATAACCATGTATTGAAAATTATTTATGACCACTTTACTTTATCATTATCAATATCGGTGTCGTTAAATACCTATTAGGTTCCTAAATTAAATTAGCCAAAATGTTTCATTTTCTGTTATTCAACGAGTGTTCAGCGGTGAGGTTAAACGTATAGTAATTGTGGTAGTGTTCATTGTAAAATATTGTTTAATATTGTTTTACATAAAGTATAAGTTTTAATTTACATATTTAATAATGCCAAGACAATTAATATTCTTGGTCGGTGTTATGAAAAACCAAATAACTGGTAGTAAGCTTCCATCAAAAAGAGATATTTTGAGTGTTCTCTTTTACAATATGCGTATAGTCAAACTAACATTACACGATAGCGCTAGTCTTGTGTTTGACGAATGTCAAATTTTTTGGATAAAAGCGCGTATACCTATTCAAGATCGATCAAATTGTGTTACAAAAATTAAAAAACTCTATGATGAATGGAGAAAATTAGATAAAAATAAAAATAGAATTACTGATACACAAAAAAAAATTATGAATACGTTTGAAGACAATTTAAATGAGTTATTTGACATTGCGCATAGTAATGCATTAAATACTATAAAAATTCACGAAGATAAATTATTTTTAATAAAACAACGTGAAAAAGGACGTCATGGATGCATGATGGGTATAGATTCAAAATTAACCAGTCTTGAATTTCGAAAATGCTATTTAGAAGAACAAAAAGTTAGACAGAAAGAAAAACACGAAATTGCGTCGAAATCACCAGGTAGTTTATATAATTATAGTTTTAAAATTAATGTATAATAATAATTTTAAAGCAATACTTTCAAAAACAATGTTTCTAAGAACTTTTTATATTACAGTTGTGTCTATGGACTATATATCAGATGAAAACTTCACTGATGAAGAGGAAATTATAAATATTGAAAGTGTTGGCCCGTCAAAAATCAAGCGAGCAAGAAAGGAAATTATAAACCACCGTTTATCGGCTGCATTAGACAAATGTAAAATAAGTGACCGAGATGCCGTTCATTTACTTACAGCTGCAGCTGAATCTTTTAATGTCAATACTAGTGAGTACATAATTAATAGATCTTCAATTAAAAGAGCTCGAGAAAAGCGTCGTGAACAATTATCTGAAGCTATAAAATCTAATTTTTTAAATGTAAATCTACAATATTGCGTTGTGCATTGGGATTCAAAATTACTACCCGGCTTAACAGGAAGGGACACAATAGATCGTCTCCCTGTGATTATTACAGCTCCTAATGTTGAACAGTTATTAGGAGTTCCACAATTATCATCTGGGAGAGGGAATGAAATATGTTCGGCTGTATATAATACTTTAGACGATTGGTGTCTATTAGATAAAGTAGAAGCTTTTGTATTTGATACTACTGCATCAAATAGTGGCCGTCTAAATGGTGCATGCGTTCTTCTCGAACAAAAGTTAAATCGAAATATTCTATTTCTTGCTTGTCGTCACCATATTTTTGAAATAATTTTACAAGCTGTTTTTGTTACATCAAAACTATCTGTTATGTCTGGACCTGATATTCCATTGTTTAAACGATTTAAAAATAACTGGGTGAATTTAGATTTACGTAATTTTCATACATGGACATCACATCCAGATGTATTTGAAGAATTAAAATATGTAGTAGATGATGTTTTATTATTTTGTACAAAAAGAATCGAAGATAATTATCCAAGAGATGACTATAAAGAATTTATAGAACTTATTATGATATTTTTGGGGAAAACACCTCCACGAGGAATACATTTTCGACCACCTGGTGCTTACCACTTAGCCCGATGGATGGCAAAAGGAATATATTGTTTTAAAATGTTGTTATTTTATCAGCAGTTTAAGCTCTCAATAATTGAAAAAAGAGGTTTAAAAGAAATATGTTGTTTCATTGTAAAATGTTATTTAGAGGCGTGGATATGTGCTCCCGATCCAATTACAGCTCCACTTAATGATATAATTTTTTTAAAAAAAATAGTCGATTATACAAAATATAATAAAAAAATAGGAGAAGTAGCAATAAAAAAATTTATTAACCATTTGTGGTACTTAAATGATGAATGTGCAGTATTTTCTTTATTTGATGATCGAATTGATAATAATACTAAATCTAAAATGGCAAAACGGATATTGGAAATAAATGAAGAAGGTATCAATACTGACGATCAAGAAAAAGACTCTCAAAAAAAAATTGTTTTACAATTTGATGACGTTCAACATTTTTTAAATAAAGATCTTCCATTGGAATTAATATCAAATAAATCGATACAGTTTTTTCAAAGATTTCGTATTTCTAAGGACTTTTTACATAAGGATCCAAGTTTATGGAACATAACCACCGAATATAAAGAAGCAAAGGATGTTATAACTACATTAAAAGTTGTCAATGACAGTGCAGAAAGAGGTGTGAAATTGATGGAGGAGTTTAACGACAAATTTACGAAACAAGAGGAACAGAAACAATATGTGTTACAGGTATTTTTTTAGTATTTTTTGATCGTGGAATAATTAGGAATTTATTAAAATTCATTATTTATAATTTTAGATTGTTCAAGATTATAGGAAGCAGTACCCGGGATTCAGTCGTAAAGTTTTAAAACAAACCTATAACAAATAATTAAAATACATTTGGATGTAGAAAATATGTTGTATAATAAAATGTGATAATTAAAATAAAATGTTATTATAACTTCTTTAATATTAGCCTAATTTACATAATTTACTATTACAAATAACATTTTTTTAGGAAATTAAATTATATTCGATTTTTATACAAGACATTTTATTGTATGTTTAATATTTTATTAAATACACCTAAATAAATGTAAAAAATCTATTTTGCAAAATAAATAAAATATTTCGTATTTTACTATTTTTCTTGGAAAATTACAGATTTACAAAAAAATTTGTAAATATATATTTTATGCGCAATATTAAAATACATAATTAACTCTCTATACATTTTTGCCCTAGGTACTATAGTTTTTGAGTTAAATTCACATAACTACAAAACTACCCTCTAAGGCAAATTTTCAACCCTCGTGAGGCACGTGAATGGGGTGAGTCATCGTGACAAAATTTAACCCAAATTACTTACTCATTATAATAAACAAAATGGCGAGTACCTGGCTAAAGAATATTTAAAAAAAAATTCTTCTTCTATAACTAAGGACCACCCTAGTACTCCCTCTTTTAACAATTAGTAGCACTATAAAAATTCATGATAAGAAAGAAGCTATAGACCCTATTTTATTGTTTCAACGCATGAGTATAACTAAGACATTTGGGGATGAACTTGAAAAATTTTTTGAATATGAATTAGCTCCTTATCCATTATCACTCTTTGATGCTAATGGCATGCGTAAAACACAAAAATCTGCTATTTATGATTTTTTTCAATGTGTTAATATTGATATTGATCACAAAAATACTACCTATATCATTGACGGAGGATATCTTTTACATCGCGTCGTATGGGATCGAGAAGAAACATTTGATGTTATTTTTGAGAAATACGTGCATTATATACATAAACATTTTGGTTGTAACGTTATTGTAGTATTTGATGGTTATAATGATAATAAAAAGAATACCAAAGCTGCAGAAAAAAATCGTCGAACTACTAAAATAACTTCATCCTGTGATATAATTTTTGATCAATTTATGACTGTTCCTATAAACCAACAGCAATTTCTTGCTAATATTCATAACAAGTCTCGCTTCATAACATTTTTTTTTTTTTTAGTAAATCAACCCTAAGGTTGGTTTTGCAATTTTCCGAAGTTTCTCCATTCATCTCTATTTTCAGCTAGCCTCTTCAGTTCCTTATAGTTTGCTAGACCTGCATCGGAAATCATCTTTTTGATATAAGACGTTCTTGGTCGTCCTCGATCTCTTTTGCCATTCATCTTCCCTTCTATTATAATATACAGAAGTTCTTCTTCGTGTCTTAAGACATGACCAATCATATTCCATCTTCTTTCTTTTATGGTGCTAAGTATCTTCCTGGTTTCATTTATTTCGTTTAGAATGTTTTCGTTAGTTCTTCTTTCTACCCAGCTTACTCGCAACATTCTTCTCCAGCACCACATCTCGAAGCTTTCAAGGAACTTTTGTTCCGTTTTGTTTAATACCCATGTTTCGCATCCGTAAAGTGCGACACTCCACACATATACCTTTATCAGCCGTTTCTTCACACGTATACTCATGTTTTTAGAGCACAGTAGGTTCCTTTTGTTCATGAATGCTGTTTTTGCTTGAGCGATCCTTGCTTTTATATCCATAGTACATTTTCCATCTTGGCTAATTATGCTACCTAGATATCTAAAGTTTTCCACTTGATCGAGAATGTGGTTATCAATTTTAATTCTTAATCTATGAATACAATTCTTTTTTTGACACATCATTATCTTGGTTTTATTCCAATTGATTTTAAGGTGATAATTTTGGAAGCCCTTTGCTATTTCTTCTAACGCTCTTTTGAGATCGATTTCGCTGTTTGCAACAAGAGCTATGTCATCGGCGAATCTTAAAAATGATATCAATTCTCCTCCTACTGTCACTCCGAATTTGATCTCTAGTGAATGTTTCTTTAATTTCATTGATAGATTGTTCTAATAAATATTGAATAATTTTGGTGACAGTGGACACCTTGTTTACTCCCTTTCCTATTTTGGCTGTTGCAGACTTGTCTGACACTTTTATAGCTATACTCTTTGTATATGTTGTATATTAGCTGTCTGTCTCTATAATCAATGTCTATTTCTTTTAATGTCTTAAAAGTTCCTTCAGAACTGTGTCAAATACCTTCTCAAATCGATAAATGCGATAAATGTGTCGTTGTTAAATTCGATCTGTTTTCAATTAATTGTCTTAGGCTTAGATCGCTTCTCTAGTACCCATGTTTCTTCTAAATCCGAATTGATCATTGCTTAAATGCCTTTCAATTTTATGTTCTATCCGGTTACCTATTATTTTTTACTAGGATTTTAGCTGAATGTATTGTACGTACCGTGTTATTTACACGTAATTATTATACGGAGAGTGTGTAACTACCGATGGGATAATATATTCAAACAGTGTAGCACCAACGGATAGGGCGAACACCACCTGCACATCGTGATATTAATATAATGAATAAGACATGGGCAATACGTGTGGCTTA